CGTGTGACACTGGGTCACTGTGGCCGTAGCCGAAGTAAAGTGTGTGACATTGGGTCACTGTGGCCGGAGCCGAAGTAAAGTGTGTGACACTGGGTCACTGTGGCCGGAGCCGAAGTAAAACGTGTGACACTAGGTCACTGTGGCCGGAGCCGAAGTAAAGCGTGTGACACTGGGTCACTGTGGCCGTAGCCGAAGTAAAACATGTGACACTGGGTCACTGTGGCCGTAGCCGAAGTAAAACATGTGACACTGGGTCACTGTGGCCGTAGCCGAAGTAAAACATGTGACACTAGGTCACTGTGGCCGGAGCCGAAGTAAAAGACTTGCAAAAATTGAGAATGTGCAAAAGGGAGCAAGTGTTGAAATGGGCTTAAGTGAGCCCATTTAAAAAGCCTGATAAAGGGGTAGTACGTGGTGTGATAGCCGTCCTTTGAATGACGTGCGTAATAAATGCGGCCGTAAAAAGAGAACTACAGCAGTTAAACGGGCAAATTTAAAAATGAACCGACGGGTTCAAAACGGTGTCGTTTGATGGTTAACCGTCGAATTCGAAACGATGTCTCTGCAGCCGTTAGATGGAGCTAATCACAGCCGTTGAAGCGTATTTTGCCTTTGGTATAAAAGGCTACACTTCTGTAAAAGGGGACTTTTTACTCTCGTTGTTTTGCTAGTACACCCTTGTGAAATTGCTGCTAAATTTCTGCGGTTTCGTGCGGTTTGCGCTTCGATCAAGACTTCAACAACAGCTTCCTAGGATCAAAATCAGGTAAAATGTACAAATTTTTAACTTCGATTTTGAGTTTTTGTGTTCGATTTTGCCGAAATGCTATCCTCCTTCCTCCCTTTCTGTGGTTGATTTTGGGTTTTTTTGGAGGAAATTAGGGTTGGGAGTGGGAATATGTTGAGTGTGTTGGAATTGTTAAGGGCCCTGACATCGTTCCTCCTCCCCCTGTATGCAGAAATTGAGATGTCTTCAGAAGAGGCCAGGAGTGCAGTGGGGAGTGAAGTGGTGCCCTTGGAATATGGTGGTATGGATTCGGAAACCAGTCCGTCTCCAACTAGTTCGGAGAGGACAGTGGAGGAAAGGAGGTATCAGAGGGTGGGAGAAGAGGTAGGAGAGGAAGAAGACGAGATTCCCTCCAACATTTTGGAGGCGGGGAACAGGGTAGATGGGTGTTACAACCCAGATTTAGATATGGTATCTGAGGTGAGGGGGTATGTGAGCGAGTTAGGTAGTAGAGAAAGTCTTAGGGGTTTAGTGGACAACTGCAACCTCCCCCACCATGTCCTAATTAGGCCTGCCGGGGTGAATGAGAGGGCATGCTCTGCACCCCGAGACCATTGGATGCCCCTTTATGTCCATTATCTGATAGCAGGTCTTAGGTTTCCCATTCCAGAATTACTGGTTGGGCTATTGTTAGATTACAGCATAGGAATAACCCAATTAACCCCCAATGCCATAAGGGTAATAATAGGCTTTCTTCTATACTGCCGAGTTCGAGGGGTGGGGCTCCCGACCGTAAATATGTTTAAACATTTTTTTATTATTAAGGCTGGGGGTAAGGGGGAGAAGGGGTGGTACTACTTCGGCCCTCGGTCGTCCAGTAAAGGGAATAGGAGTTTATTCTCTGCTGGACCGTCATCCATCAAAGGGTGGAAAGAAAAATTCTTCTTTGTGGATGACACCGAGTGGAGTAGGAGGGACACCGAAGTGGAACAATTGTTTGCTTGGAAAGCTAAGAAAACCAAGCAGAACAACTATAAATTAAATGAGGATGAGGTGGAGGAGGTGGAGAAGCTGGTGAGGGAGGACGGAGACGCGGTGGACATCCTATACCTCACCAGTTCGCAGGCAATAGAGGCTGCTGAGCTCTATGGGCCAAGCTCATTAAGCGAAGGTCTGTGTATGTTTACATTGTGCTATGTTAGTTATAGCTTAGTTTATGCGTTTTGACCTTTGTGTTTGTTTTGCAGCTGAGATGGAGGAGTTTACAAATGCTGCTGGGGGGGACTGCGTATCCCAAAGAAACCAAGGAAGAAGTCAACGACTTCAGCTGCGGCGAACAGAGGGGTGCCCGAGAGAGAGCGCCTGCCCAGCACTTCTGCCTGGGCCATGGGGGTGCAGCCAAGGCCGGAGCCTGTGATGGGGGGTAGCGAGGATGTGAGCGAGGAGACGGCATCGCTCCAGAGGAAGAAGAGGAGGGTGGCAGAGCTAGAAAGCAGGGGGGACGAGGTGGTGGAGTTCGTGCCCCGGCCGTTTCCTCCAGAAATTAATCCTGAAGATAGGGAGAGGGGAGAGGTTGAAGTGCGAGGCCTTGGTGGGGGTAGGGAGCGCACCTCACCCCACGCGTACCAGAAGAGTTTGTTTGAGGCGACAAACATGACTAGGGCGAAGCACTTCCTCAACGCTACTCTTCCTGAGGTGGATAGGATGCAGGCGAAGAACGAGGTGCTTAGCCATGCAGGGTATACCGTTGTGAGGCATGCCCTAGAGGTATGCGAAATAATTAGATTTTACTCCAGTTGCATGTTTGAGTTTTTTGTCCCCTATGTCTGATGTTTGACCTCTGATTGCATCGTAGAGTGCGAGCTGGACAAATGCTCTAGCGCAGGAGTATGCAGAGAGCGTTAGAGATCGTGCCAGCTTGCAGAGGCAGTGCGAGTAGCTTCAGAAGGAGAAGGATGAGCTGCAGAAGGAGAAGGGGGGATGGGAGAAGCAAAAGAGGGAGATGCAGAGGAGGCTGGATGAAGTTCTCCCTTTAGTGGCCGAGCTTCAGAACGAGAATGGTGTCCTGAGCACGAAGCTTGTCCTCGAAGAACGAAAGAGGAAGATCTGTGAGGAGAAGCTCGAGGCTCAGGACAAGTACATGGACAACATGAGGAAAGGAGCGGCGGAGCTGAAGAAGAACGTGAACTTGCTGGTTCACAACGGAATGGAGGAGCACATTGGCAACTTCCTCAACTCCAGCACCTTCTAGGACATCCTCAAACTCTACCGGCTGCCAACCGCAATCGTGGCCTTCACCGACTGTAGAAAGAAGGTGAAGGCCCAGTACCCAGAGGTGGACGTGACAACAGTCACCTTTGGGGAACAAGAAGAGGGAGTGGAGGAAGATGGGGAGAGCCTCTGTGCTGACTTCCGACCTCAGATCACGCTGAGGTGGGAGCGTGATGCGGAGGGGCGCACTATTTTTCCTCCATCCTTCGAGGCTGAGTTGGTGGCAGTGGGGGGAGACGAAGAAGAAGAAGAAGGAGAGCAAGGCCCTGGAGTTGGGGATCAGGCAGCAATGGCCGAAGTGCAGCCTCCCGAGGTGCATCCAGTCTCCTTTGACGAGGTGCATCCAATCTCCTTTGACGAGGTGCAGCAGCTGGCCCCTCCTGAAGCAGAAGTGCCGCCTCAGCCTGCTGAAGA